GAGCCTTGAGATAATAGCAAGAGTTGACCACCTGTTCATCACCAGTGAGCAGATATTTTTAAAGAAACTCAGTAGCAGTTACAGTGAACCTGGGACAACCTTGTCACATCCTGCAGGCTGACTTTGTCATCTTACCATTCCTTCTTGTCATCTTCTACTCCACACATTCCTCCAGTCTGAATCAAGATCTACTAACAATACAGTAGATACTGACTGAGTGATCCACTACTTCAGTACATCTCAAACTGTCCTCAGGGTTACTGGAAATGAAATATCACCTCTTTGCTAGATCCTATACTCGCTGATAAATTCCAGGTAAGCGCAGCAATGCACAACAAGCCTTGGGATGATTCAGGCATCCTCCAAATCAGGAGTTGCAAGGGCTTAACAAGGTCATGCAGATACTCCCAACAAGCCCTCCCAGACTAGAAAGTTTAAATCATTCTTCCTTCAGAGCCACTTAAAAAGTATGCTTATTTTCTTCTAGTGAACATGAAAAAAAAATCCTTAGCCTCCAAAATTGCAAACAACCGCCTTCTTTCTTTTTTCTGTTTAAAAATAAGAAAATTGGGGTGTGTACTGTTTGCTGTCTCAGGTCTTAATCCACAGGGAGTTAAACAAGGTCCATACTTTCATACATTTGCCATGTTCTGGAAAATTGTTGTTTTCAACTGAAAAATGGTTTGTTTGTTTTTTCCCCCTGAAACTTCCAGCTCTAAATATGGACCTTCCAGAAAAAAGAACTGTGACAACATCTGACAAAAATTTCCATCATACCACGTCAGGATTCAAAATAAGGCGGTCTGTACCTAAATGAACTAGTGACCATGCATATCCTCATTTGTAGCACGAAGAATTAAGCAAAGATACATCTTTTCTGATGAGACTTGGAGTTTATTAGGGTGATGCAGATCGGTGCCCCATAATCTATCTGTTCTCCCTGTAGCTGGACAGTTTCAGCACACATCACCACCTCCCGCTGCCATGACATTTAGTAACCTATAGGACACAACTATCAGATTCAATGGGTGCTATTAAAGTGCTCATACGGCATTCCCACAATAAACATCATGCTGCTCAGGACAGGCCTTGTGAATGTCTCCAGGATCATGCACAGCTACACAGCAGGATGATGTCACTACTACAAGATAAAATTACTGTAGAGCATAGAACAGCATCAGTGCTCTAAACACGGTCTCACATCAGTTTGTACCAGCAACACACTGCAACATAACAGCAATGTTTTACTGCCTTGAGGCATGCAGCTCACCTCAACACCTCTGAGTGCTCTGTATTTGTTTTCCATAAAAACATGCTGCATGGCTTTTGAAGCCTGTTACTTCTGCATCAATATCACTTTATTGAAGCTTATCACCCTGAAGCTTATCTAGTGAACGAGATACATTGTCTTGATACACTGCCGTGTTTTTTTTTCACTGCTGTCAAGTTGTTGAATGCAAGGCATGGCCCCTGGCCTCTCTTTTCCCCTCCAGAGATGCCAGATGAAACATCAGCTTTAAAACTAAGCAAGCAGTAGTACTTGAGGCAGCAGCAAGGACAGAGGAGGCATATGGTTGATTAGATGACAGCTCTGAGGACAAACTAGACAGAGAGACAAAAGAAACCTAAAAAAAACCCTTTTGTAAATACCAAACCAACAATTGTCTCAAAGCTGAAGGAAAAATAGGTGATCACAGAGACACAGGAGAAGCAGAACAAAACAACTATTTAGAGGGGAGGCCAGGAACAAGATCAGCTTATTAGCTCAGCCATGGATCTCACAGCTCTGACCTGTGTATGAGTCATTGTAGGGCCCTCAATGTTACTGCATGATTTGAAGCTGCCATTCACCAGCTCAGCTGGGACAACTGCCAAGCAGTCACAGAGGAAGACAGGCTGACTTAGCTCTGAGCCATGGGGCTAACCCAACCTGCACGTGTGCAAACACCACAGGTCAGATGATGGAAACACACTGTAACTCAGGTGTCTAAGTACTGACAGGGAATTAAGCTGTGTTCTACAGCCATGGGTTTCACAGTGCCACAGAATGTTTTGCTAAAGCAATAGGTTCTGACTTAAGCAGTCACACGTCAGTACAAGGGCAGTAATTATATGATCAAAAAATTATATGATCCTCTCTTTAGGGAGATCTATAATAGTTGTTCCAATAGTCACAATACCCATGGCATATGGCAAAAGACAGAAGGAAAAATCAAGTTAGGAACCTTTACATGGGAAAAATCACAATCAGTTGTCAGTTAATTAAACTAACTACCTCTGAGGCAGTGATGTATATATCTAGACTCTTAACAATGATTGAAGAGAAAAAGGCATGCTTGAGGCCTGGTTTGACTCATCCAAAACTAAACACATAAACAGGTCAGAGGTCTAGAAAGGGAGCTATGGGAAGTATTTCAGGTGAAACTGTCTGCTACGAGCATCTGAGGGCACATTACAGCAATACCAGTGCTTGTGTGTCTGTTTTCTGTGATGAATATGAAAGTTAAGCACTATACAGTTACCAATACCACCACAAAACAGGTGAGAAATAGAAGATCTCAGATTTGTATTGAAAAAGGAATGGGAGGAAAATTTTTGCCTTTATCCAAATCTGCTTCTGAAAAGGGCAGATTCTGAGCTCTTCTAAGCTCAGATAGCACCATTTCATTTGAGTGGTGAACGAAAAAGGGGATCTGAGTTACCACTTTGTTTGCAAAGGTCTCAGAACTATTGCTTCTGAGGTTTCTTCCTCTTTACCCTACTTTTTCTGTCCTACATTTTTCATTATTCAAATAATTTATTTTAAAAAGCAAATAACGCTATTGCCTGAAAATCTACTAACTGTGTGCTCCTATGCAAAGTGTTATTTCTAGAGTGACTAACTTTTCCAAAAGTCACTTCTTTCAGCTTATTCGATTGGAAATTAAAATGATATGTACTGGGATTTGGGCAATAAATGACTTCCCATCAACAGCACCTTCTCATCAGTAGCTGAAAATACTATTACACCCCTTATCTTTTCTCTTGACATACAGTTGCTTTCCCAACCTACAAAACAAAGTCATTAAGGCTACAAGATATTCTAATTAATTTTCAAAACATAAGACTTTGTGTTAAGAGACTTGACCTGAAACAACTTGCAGAATTGGTTTGCCAGCAATCTGTATCCCCACTCCTGTCCTTACAGCTCATGGCAGGAAATTGCTACTTCACCACATCTCCCAGGTGCAGACAGCAGAAGCTAAAGCCATCCAGAGGAGAAACTAAACAGTTCTTCTCTGCATTTCAGGACAGGTCTGTGCTCCTCTTGCATCCTTTTAATTTAGGCTTGTAATTGAGTTCTCTGAAATAAATCGCTAAGTGTCTTTGGTGTCAGGTATAAACTGTCAGGAATGTGAAAATGTGATACAAAGGAGAATTTTAATAAATAGGATAAAGGCTGAGAGAATAGGTCAGGAGAAGAGCTCAAATGACAGTATGTCTCAAAAAAACTCCTCCAATCTAATATCCTGTCTGCAGAAGCAGCCTTTAGAGCATGCTTAAGAAGGATAATAAGGAATGTGTAAAAATATAATAATCCTTCCTCAAATAGTCAGCAGATTAGAGATCACTAATTGTCACAGGGCTTAAGGGATCGAGTGACAACACGGCTCCATGGTACCAATGCAGCATAAAGAGTTGGGTAAACCATCTGCTTCTCAACAGCACGTTTCACTGTGGGAGAGATCTCTCTCTTTAGCAACTACTACAATAAATGCTCTCTGTAATGTGACAGTGTCCTGAATCTCATACAGTCCAACATAGGCAGACCTTTCTCTCAGTGGAGACTATAAATACTGAGTTGGCTGAATAATATTTAAATGCTAATAGAGAGCAGTTCATACCACAGAGGTAATCAGAAAACTTTAAAGATGCCACTTATTTTGGAGAGCTCATTTAGCCATTACTTTTCCATTACGCTCTCCCAAATAGCCTACTGCCCTCTCCCATCTAGAAATGCTGCTTAACAACAAAAGAGCCATCATTCTGAGGCAAAACAGAGGCTAATTACGCCCATAATCTGCCCCTGTCTAGCCAACATCCTATACTTCAAGCAAGAACAGAAAATCAGGGTGATTATGAAACATATACACATATGGCATTGCCCTCACAACTTTTGCCTACTGAAGTCTTCCACAGGCAAGTACGTAGCCAGACCAGAAAGTTCAACAAATATTCACGGACTTATTATCCCTGCATTGGTCTAATCCTTTTTAGGGATACAAGCTCATTTGACTCAATTCCACAAACACACAAGCTGATACAAATTAACACGGAAAATATTTCTTCATAAGAAATGAAGCAGACAGTGCTGTGTATTTGTCTTCCTTACAAGGAAATGCTATGCTAAGCAGGAAGAAAGTCAGCCACCAAGGAATAATGACAACTATCACTTGAGCATACAACTGTTACAGGGAGCACCAAATTACCATTCTCCTCTGTGGGGAATCCTGGCTTACACCCCTGATCTGGAGGACATTCAAAGAGCAGTGGAAGAGCATGGAAGAACATGAAAGCAAACCTGTAATCTCAGTGTACCATAGGCATTAATTAACCTGGCTGCCATCCAAACTGCTGGCATCAAAATCCGCTTATCTGGAAGCTGCACATTTCAGCATTTCTGCAGATGCTACTACACATAGAGGTACTGCACTGTACAGGGGCAGTGGGCTACCCAAAAATAAGAAAAAGAGGCAGAAATGAAGGAATACTGAAAATTATTACAGTGCAATCAGAAGATCTGTTAGTAGTTGGAAAAACATGTTATCTGAAGAAATGGCACATCTGAATAAAGCAGAGGTTGCATCAAGAATATAATAAAAACAACTTTGGAAAAACAAGCATGAACAATCTCTAGAGAGAATACACCACAGTCAAGGAGCAATTGTGCTGGAGCCAGAAAGGGAGAACAGTTCAAGTAAAGGTATTTCTCTCTGAAAAGGAATTGTTTTTCTACATACCTGTCCAGTCTCCTACTATTTTTACGTGGACCCCAAACGTTGCTTTGGTATCTGTAGGGCACTAAAAATATTAAATATATTAAGGACCACTTCTGGTTAATAAAAAAAACAAAAAAAAAATGCATTGAAAGTACAGTTGTTAAGACAGAACGTGGTGTAAATAAGTCATTCCTGAGCAGCCACACCAGCAGCCATACCATTTAAAAAGCAAGTCTATCATCAATACAGTTAGGGAAGTCAAGCACGTCTAGTCTCCAATCAGACTTAACCCTTTCTTCTGGTCACAGAGGAGTTTTGACGTTTGCTTGGGGGTGTGATTTGGAACAGTCCCTTCACTAAGCGTTACTCAGAAATTATACCAACTGTAGGTACAAAAGCATGGAAATACTCACTCTACTATCAACACTTATCACTCATAATCAGGAACCACCCCATCACTCCTATTTCAAGGCTTTTAAGAGATTTCTGGTTCTTGAACGTCAGAGTCCATGTTTTCAAGCTGATCATTCTCACACAACTGATGCTTTCCTCTAAATGGAACTGAGATTTTGCTGCACTCCACAAGAGCTTACAGTTTGCAAAGGAAAAGCACCATATTGTGTCACATCATAAAAATAACTATCTAGCCACCATTCTCTCACTCTGCACATACACCCTCACCTCAGGGCTATTTGTTTGCGACTATTAACACAGGAATGCTATTATTTACAGTCTCATCCACATCATGGTATCTAAAAACCTCCAGACAAGCCAAGTCAAAGGTTTTTGTTTCTTGTTAGCTACAGGGGCATTTCAAATGCACTGCCTGGACAGCTTTTGCAGGTATACTAAATAATTGCACACATAAACAGGGCAAGTAACTATTGCTCAAGAAAAGATTCAGTGCTTTTCTTCTATAAACCAACATCTTCGATTTATTTTTTTGATAACAGATAGTACTACTGAATTTTGATACCTTTCTTAGAACCTGTTAATGATTGATTCGAGTTCCATCATGAAACCAGTACTTAACAGGTGATGTTCCCGTCTCTCTTTTTTTTTTCCTACTGCTAAAGACAAATATGAGTTCTGAGGAAAGGGTTTAAACTCAAGAAACACATCTATATTATAAATAAAAGAGTTCCAGGTAGCAAATCCAAGCACCAAATACTCAATCAAGCACTATGCTTATGAAGACACTTGGTTCTGTTATGGAGCTTTGCCATTAGTGTTCCCAAGATAATCTGTTGTGGAGTGCAAAACAACTGGCCTCAGGACTGAGGGTTGGTTCCTTATTTTACAGCAGACAGATAAAAGGTTAGTACTATCTACACCTCGGCAAACCTAAACAGGGAATACAAAGTCCCAGCTAGTCACTCCATTTTCCTGAAGGGGAAGAGCACTCTTGTTAAGATTGCTGATTACTAAACATACTTATATTTAACTTCTTGTCATCTTCCAAGTTTTCCTATAAAAATGGGGTAAAGAAGCCTGGAGTCCCAATTATTTCAGCAAGTTTCAGACTTCAAAAGCAAAACGACATTAAGGGAGGGATGCTCGTAAACTTCACAAAATGAGGCCATGATTTGCTATGCCTAGTTGCAATGTCTTCCTACAAAAATATCAAAGACCAATTCTCCATATAAAAGCAGGTAAGCAGCCTCTCAGGTAGAAAGTTGTGTACTGGCAGTAAAAAAGGTCTGTTCTCCTGGAGGTTTCTGTAAGAGCCTTTAGCAGGGTTTATTTTTCACTCTGGGCTATTGCACAGCTCTCTGTTTCACAGGAGGTTGACTGATTGTCTTCTTTTAACTATCCACAGTTCCAGTTCAGTACACCTTCTATAAAATTGTCTGTCATTTCCTCCTTCCATGAAGTTAATAGCAGAATACCCCTTGTCTCCAGCAAGAACAGGTTCAAACCTTTTATACTTTACATTACCCTTGCGACTAACTCCTTTCTGCACTACTCTAAAAAATTATCCAATAAAAGTGAGATTTATTTCTCTTTAAACTGTAGGAAATCTATTTTGATACTTATAACTGGATATGAGAGCTCCTCAGAGAGTTCTGAAAAAATCTTGTTGTACTGCTAAGTCTTACCAGAAGAAACATGCCCATATGGGCTACATGGAGTGAAATGCTCCCACTTCAAGAGACAAAAAGCATATAGATGGACCAGTGAAGGGCCACCAAAACAATGAGAGGATTGGACAACCTGACACACAAAGAGAGGTCAAAAAGGGAACTTGCTTGTGCAACCCACACAGGAGAAGTCTTGAGGAGATCACTGTCTTCAAAGAAATCAAAAATAGCTATAGAGAAAATGAAAGTGCTCTCCTGTCTTCAGCACCATGCATGGAAACAGGACAACAGACCAGGAACACAAGTTTGTTCAGGGGAAATTTCAGAAAAATATTCTTCCTTGTGGAATAGGCAGAGAAATGGTAGAATTTCTCCTGCTAATTCAGCTTCACGTGACTCTGAATAACCTAATCTAAAGCCCTTGCACCAGAAGGTCAAGCCAAATGATCTCCAGAAGCCTCTTCCAACTTTAGACTTTCCTATATACTTGTAATTATAACTTTGAAATTTGTATTTACATTTTTTCCTGAATGGATCACTTACTTTCCTCTCTCATCTCCATGAAGACAATTAAGTTTCCAAACTGTGGCTTTCTCAAGACTGTTAGAGAATATATTGCAGCAGCTTAAGAAATATTCAAAGACAGTTTTTCAAAAGTTTAATCATGGAAGTGGGTAAACTTTCCTATGTTATTAACAGACCACTTGGCATGTGTAATGAAGTGAAAATATTGTCTTATATATTTAACCTTCTTCATGAAATCACAGAATCATATCACAGTTGAGACTAGTAAGCATCTCTATTGACCAGCTACTTCAATCTTCCTTCAAGAGCAGGGTCTTCAAGAACAGGTGGCCCAGGACAGTGTCCAACTGTGCTTTGAATGTCTCCAAGGATGGCAACTCTATAGCCTCTCTGGGCAATCTGGGCTACTCTCACAGAAAAAGTGGTGTTTTTCTTAGGTCTTGATGAAACTTCCTGTATATTACTTTGTGTTGTCCTGTCACTGGGTGAGCATCTAGCTCTGTTTTCTTCACTCATCCCTTAGTTCCCACTCTCTCAGCCTCTCTTCATATTTAGAGATGCTCCATTTCCTTAGTCATCTTCATGGCTCTTTGTGCTCTAATACGTCCATGTCTCTCTTATACCAGTGAGCCCAGAACTGGACACAGAGATTCAGATATATCTCACCAGTGTTGATCAGAGAAGGGTCACCTCCCTGGACCTGCTGGCAACAGCCAGCCTAGTACAGCCAAGGAAGCTGTTGGGTTTTTTTGCTGGTTCATGGTCAACTTAGTGTCCACCAGGACCCCCTGGTCATTCTCTGCTGATCTGCTTTCCAGCCAGGCAGGTCAGAGTTATTGCCTTGTTCAAATAAAGGTGTATCAGTGGCCTCAGCAATGCATCATGCCCTCTCTGCAGCTGTGAACAAAACCAACTAAAATTGTTTTTAAAATGTCTTCTGGCAAATAACATTTGGACTTCCTCATGCTGCTTTTAATGTGGAAGCCCTAAGAAACAATTCACTGTATTGTGTTGAGAGCTACATGCAGCCCCTTACTTTTTCTTTATTGCCCAGTAGGAAACTGTAAAGATTAGTCATTCTTAAAATCAAAAAATAATTTCTCTTAGTTCCTTTTCCTTAAATAAACCATGTTTTCCAGACAGGTAAATCACTAACTTGAATAGTCTGTAATGAGAAGGGACAGTAGACATCATTAAACTAAGGGTCACAAGTGCTTTTCAGTAGTCCTTTCCAGATTTTGAAGAGTTAAATGAACCTTGTTTGCTGCATTCATTTGATTAAAATGCTATGATTTGCAAATTAACAGTTGCAGATAGTGTAACTATTCAAGTTATGTTAATTTTATTCTAACTTTAAGCAATATATACCTTTTAAAAGTGAAAGATTTTACAGGCATGAATGTCTACACTAATCAGGTTACCTGTCAGAATTTGGCCCTCCTCCAAAAGCAATTGAAAGCCAAAGGAATTCTGTTAAATTGAATAGGAGTTGTGCAGATTTACACCCCAAGAGAAACTAAACTATGTTCTTAGCATCAGTAAACTGGTAGATTTCCCCAGAGCTGGTAATCCCATGTGAGCAAGTTTAAAATGCCTAATTTTATTTTATTTTTGTATGTATTTTCATATTCAACAGAATTAGAGTATCTTCATCATCATCATGGCTAGGCTTAACGAACAAAGATTTGGGAAGGGCTCTACCCACGTTTGTAGAGTATCTTACACGTAGATAAAAACTATGGAATATAGTTTATTCTATTCATAAAACACCCACTTTTCCATGTATTTTTTCCTTTTTTTTTCAAGTTAACTTGGAATACAAATGCAAGTTATCACATAAGAATTTTGCAACAATACCTGGAGAACTTTATGCTTATAAACCACCAAATTAATTACGCTTGCCAGTAACTACCGCTCTACTATCTATCTCTATGCTGAGATAAAATTTAGATGATAATTTCAATAAACTTAATAATATATAATGCACAAGATTAATACATACTTGAAATGTATTTTTTTAATCAGTTTTACATTGTAATCATGGTTCTAAGTTGCCCACTGCCTTGCTTTTTTATGAATATAAAATGAGCAAACTAATTACTGTTAGATCACAGTGATAATACCTTATACCCACTATAGTGGCCTCGCATTGCACCAGTGGGGGTTTAGATTGGATATTAGGAAAAATTTCTTCACCAAAATAGTGGTCCAGCAGTGGAACAGGCTGTCTAAGGAAGTGGTGGAGCCACCATACCTGGAAGTGTTCAAAAGACATGTAGATGGGGACATGGTTTAGCGGTGGACTTAGTGCTGGATTAATGGTTGTACTTAATCTTAAGTGATTCCATGATTCTATATGGGTACAAAAATCTGCTCTAGGTGATGAGCAATGGAGAAATCTGCATATGAGAGCACAACATAAAGCAAATGAAAACTATGTTATAAGCATCTGTGCCTCCAACTTAGAATACCCTGA